TCCGTTTAATGGAATATTATTTGGCCATAACAAGGAATTAAGTACTGATACGTGCTACAACATGGATGAACTATGAAAATATTATACCATGCGCAAAAGAAGGTAGTTACTTTCCCGAGTTCAAGCAATTCTGCCGCAGCCTCGGAGTAGCTGGGACTATACGTGTCCATCACCACGCCCAACTAATTTTTGTATTTTTAGTAGAGATGGAGTTTCACGATGTTGGCCAGGCTGGTCTCGAACTCTTGACCTCAGGTGATTCAGCAGACTTGGCTTCCCAAAGTGCAGTAGACAGCAATTTTGAACACGGCTTTTAGATTCTGCACTCATGCCTTTTCTACTCTATGTCAATGGAGTTGAAATAATTGCTTTGACAGAACCTGATATAGACGTGCCTGTAGGAAGAAACTAAAATGAATGGATCGTTCTGTGAAATTTCAGCCCTTCCCCCACCTTTCTTTTGCTTCTTTGCCTTTTTCTCCCTTCCTGGTTTTCACTTCTTTCTTTTAGGAAGTCAGCACCCTCTCCCCACCTCTGTGGTTGGGAGGGAATCTACTATTGCAGGTCTACACTCTAGCGCGGATGAAATAGTGTGCGAGTTCGATATTTGCGTTTGGGCGTTATCTCCCCGGGAAACAGCTCCTCCGCCAGCAGCGCGCAAAGGTGGGATCTGAAGCAGTGGACAGGCAGAGGAGGGGGATTTCCAGGAAAAGCGCATTTTCTCGTCCTGTTCTAGGGTTTCACAGATGAAGGCCTCTCGGCCACCCACGTGGGGTGGGGGCGGCGAGGACGCCACTTGCCGGCGGCTCGCCTGCAGGCAGGGCCCGCGCGCCGTTGCTGGGGCAACCACCCGGCCGGGCTGGGGGCTGCCGGGAAGCCCCCTCGGGAGCGCGCACGGGCAGGGCGGCCGGGGCGCGGGCCCGGCTGCGGCGTCAGACTCCCGCCCCTCGGCGCCCGCTGGACCCAGCTCCATTGTCAGCCCCGCCTCCCTCGGCGGGCAGCCGGCCGGAACTCGCGAATCAGAGCAGCCGACACATCGCCCGCTCAGCCAATCGCAGCGCGCGTGTGATCCCGCGACCGCCCCGGACCCTGGCGGCCAGAGCTGAGGCGGTTACCGCGGGAGTCGCTGCTGAGGCGGCCGCGGGTGCGGGTGGCAGCGGCGCTGCTCCGCGGGGCCGAGCCGCGCTGCAGCTGCAGGCGCCTGGCGGTCAGGGCGGGCTCCCGAGTGGCCCCCGGCCGAGGGCGGTGGGACTAGCGGCTGAGCCCAGGATGCCGGCGAGGCGGCGCGGTGGCTCCTCACTCATCCCAGGTAAGGAGAACTCGGCGCTCGCCGGGCTCCGCTCCACACGCACCGCCTCCCGCCCGGCCCCGAGCCCGGTTCCGGCATCCCTCGGCCCCTCGTAGTCCCCCGCCCGCTGCCTCCGGCCGGTCCAACCCCGCCCCCGAGCGCGGAGTCCCGGGTCTGGCCCGCGCGGCCCCCGCTCCCACGCCCCTTCCCCCGTCGCCGGCGTTTCCCCGGCTCGGCGTCGCCCCGGCCGCGGGGCCTCCCTGCCCTCTCCCCTGTGCCCCTTCCATCCCTCCTCGCGGCCCAGCCCCGGAGTTCCCTGGGCTCGGACTTTCGCCCCCGCCTCTCCCCCGGCTGCGCTTCTCCGGCTCCTCGCCCCGTCACCACCCCGTTGTACGTTGTCCCTCCGCACAGCAGTCGCCCGCCCCGCTCCAGGTGTCCCTGGTCTTGCCCCTTTGCTCCCAGGCGCCTTTCTTTCCCAACTCGTGTCTTCTCCGCTCCCTTTGACCACCCACTATCGCCGTCTCCTCTTCCTTCCCTTGCACTTAAACCTCCAGACACTTTCCCACTCTCTGGAATGCCAGATCCGTTGCTTTTTTTTTT